TGGTTCCCACCAAAACGCAAAAGAACACCGTTTTTATAACCGTCCACAAAAAAAATCCAGAAAATGCTTTTATTATGAATATGAACTCAATGTAACAAGTACAGCCAGCGATGGTTTGACTTTTCTTTCTAGGCCATATCTGTCAGCTCTTCGTTGTCTCTTAGTCTTTCCTGTTTCCTCAACCTCCAGTTCCTCTGATGTTCCCTTTTTCTTAGCGTGTCTTTTGTTTCGGGTGTGCCAGAAGTTGACTAGAGTAGCAGACCTCCTGGTTTTTGATGAAAGCATATTTATGTGAGGATGTGGGTTTCTGTGTTTTTGCATTTTGGTTAATTTAGTCCCTGTGTTGTCATGTCATGCTCCTTGATTATTTCCAGCCGTCCCTTGTTATCCAATGTGTGTTTAGTCTCAACTGTGTCATCTTGTTACCCTGTTACCTGTTTGACTCACCTGCTTTTCTGCTGTGTTGTCTGTCAACATTAAACTCATTTTTCCACTTTACCCTGGGATCAGACCGCATTCATCCTCATCAACAAACCTCCACTCCGTGACATTTTGACATTTTAAGCATTAAAATGGCCCAATCAAAGTCTGGAGTTCAGTACAGTCAAGTACTCCATCAGATCTGATTGAGTTTGAGTTATTTTGTGAAGACAAATCAGTAAAAAAAAATAAAAAATAAAGCTGGTGGAAACATACCTCAAAATATTGTTAGCAAAAGCTATAAAGTCCACACAGAGATTTGATAAAATCTGGGAAAAGATGAATGGCCTAAATAGTTTTGCCAGGACTGTATGACGCGTTTGTGATTTTTGGTCCTTTAGAAATATTTCACATGACTCACGTGAACTCACGTAAAGTAAAACCAGGCAGGTAGGCAGGCCAGCTATAGGAAGTAACTCTGCTAATAAACTCCACGTCCTCTTTATGATCCACTGTAAATCCCATTTAATTGCACTGACGGCAGCAGTAAAATCTTATCAGCTCATAATGGTGGCCTCTCAGAGGCATCAACATTTTAATCATTTTTTTATGTTTGTCTAAGTTTATGATTTTTCCAAAAAACTGGAAGCCGGTGGCCCCTCACTCATTAAAGCCATAATTCTTTCATTGTGTAACATTTTTATGGCCGTCACCCGCTCCGTGTGATGCAGATTCCAGGATCATGCTCCCATTTCCTAAAACACAGGGTGATATTTCACTCCTTGCCCCCATCCTGGGCGTAAGCCCATTTTATACAGTCCTGCTCTGACCCATTGTTTTCCCACATTCCAAGAAATTGCAAGAATGCTGTGTCATTTATTACTAATTGGGTGATGAAACTACGGAAACCGTTAACAGCGGTCCAGCATGTTTGTCCAGTGACTTGATCTCTTTAATAGTCCAGACCTGGCATTGAAATGCCAGATCTGGGCTGGGAACCACGACTCTTGAATGCGTGACTCAGCCTCGGTGTGTTGACTTCGACTCAGCTTCCTGCGCTGGGGAGGTAAGCCTGCCTCCTTGCGAAACATGAGCCAAACTGAGCACATAAATCAAAATATGTCCAACGAGCAGAGCAGATCACTTTGACTGGGTGGATGACGAGAAATCTGACCAGACAAGAGCGCTATGAAATGGGTGGTCAATGGCGCCATCTGCTGGCTTTTGTGAAGATTTATTTTTCTTTTTTTTTAAATGAGTGGTTTGAACCAACAATTGGGTCAGATACTGTGACCCATTCAAGAAGATGGAAAGTAAGGAGCGTCATTAGCGGTCTGTCCGCCATTTTGAACTACAAAAAACCTCATCAGACTTTGCTGAACCTCTTTTGCAGAATGAATTAAGAAATACTATGAGATAAAGTTATGCTAAATAATTTGATTTGACATAATTTTATTTAGCATAATTGTCATTGGCAATATGCAATATGCTAATTGTTATTAGCATATTGCTTCCTTGTCTTTGGGTACTTCGTGTTCCTTTATGTGATGAAGTGAGTCATGGTTTTTGATAGCACTTGGCAAGTGTTTTTTTTTTCTTTATGATCTGGAAGTGAATGATCCACTTACAGTCCTGTAAAAGTGTAAAAAAATAAAAATAGCACTGCTATTTCACTTGCAATGTGGACTACCTTTGATCTCTAGTTCAAATCCTTTGATCAAACCAGAATTTTCTGCAGTGCACTCAGTCTTCGAAACACCATTTCTGAAAACAGGATCGCTTTAGATTGTTAGATGTTAGCCCACCATATCATTCAAGTAAGAGCCTCCACTATCCATCCTGTCCGTTGATTTTTAACCCAGCAGTTTTTACAACGTAGTCTGTCTGCCAAGCAAAATTCACTGACCAAATCTTTTGAAATGAACATCATAAGTCATTTTCATTGCTGAAAAAGGATCACACGTTTATTGCGTTGAAAATAAAACCAACTGAAATCATTACCTTTCTGAAATTGAAAGTAAAAATGTCAAGAAAGATGTTGCTGTGAAACGCCTTTTTATCTTTAGATTCACTTTTGATACCAGGCGCTTGTATTCGTGGACAAAGTGTGCGGGCCGTAACGGATATTTTAAGCCAGCTTCACGAGAAAGAAAAGGGAAAGAAGCTGTGAACAGACCACTAAAAAGCAACAGAAAACTAAAAAAAAAAAACAGCTCTGAAATGATTAGATGGCTCTGTCTAAAACATCCAGCTGTGTATTCTGTCAGTTCCCCAGCAGTGACACTGCGGCTCGAGTGCTTCTACTGTTCTGTCGAAGTGATGGAACGCCCTGGCTCGGCAGCAGCACTTGATGTTTGGGTGGAGAAGACGCGTCTTGAAACTGGAGGTTATCAGGGAGGGATGTCTGTTTTAAAACTCTCAGAGCAGATGAGAACAAGTCTTTTCAGCTTGAAAGTGATATTTTTGACTCTGTGTGACAGCATGATACAATCTCCTCCCCCTTCCTGGTGGCTGAGAAGACACATTATTGCATTATTCATTGTGGTACTGATTTTGTTTTCTACTTGGGGCATTTTTCTACGCCTGCGGTGCTTTATGAGGCATCAGACACACTCTTTCAATAATCCTTTCTGAAAATGATTCCTTACACACACAAATTGTTCCACCACTGGATAAAGTTAGAAAATCCACACATTCTGGTTAAAATGCTAGTATTTTACGGTAACACTTTATTTGAAGGGGGGTGAATAAGACTGTCATGACACTTTCATAAACATGTCATAACACCTGTCATGAACATAAATAAGCCTTCATCATTATTTATGACTGTTGTCATAAAGCTTCATTCGGTAAATTATGACACTTTTAATACAAAGTTGACATTATTCAAAATGTCTTTGTTATGACAACTTGACATTAACCAGGAAATCATTACTGTTTAAACTTTACCTTTAATAACATAAAGTTACCTAATTTTTAAAGTGCAATCAGTAATACTTTTATAACAAATTTATATCAGTAATTATTTCTTGTTTAATGTAAAGTTGTCATAACAAAGACATTTTGAATAATGTCAACTTTGTATTAAATGTATGTCATAGTTTACCGAATGACGCTTTATGACAACAGTCATAAATATTCAAAGTGTTACCGTATTTTGCGATGTCACCTTTTCTGTGACATACTTTCTCCATTACTTAACTGAAAAATCCAAACTAATGCAGTAAGATATCTGCATTTTTAAAGTGCTTTTTTTATTATTATTTAATCTCAAGTGTATCATCAAACGTCTGACCTGATGGTTTTCCCCCCTCCTTTTATTTTTGTTCAAACTTGTGAGAATTTGGGCAAAATGTATGCATGTTGACATGATTTGTTTTGTGTGCATTTTTCTGAAACAGAGTAAAAATATATATAATTTGAGAGAAAATCAAAACAAAACTATGATACAGAAATACAATAAAAAATTTAAAGAGGGAATCTAAAACCACAGCATCGGGTCTTATCGATCCGGAACTGATGCTGGCTCGGTAACGATATTACCAATATTTTTGAATTGATCCGGATGAAATCATGAACAATTCTAAAAGAAAATCAGTCAGTTCTGACTCACAATCTTAAGGTGTCTACTGAAAAACTGAAGATATTTTAGAGAGATTTTATTTTTCAGCACTACTAAATTCAAAGACACAACCAAAGCTAACTAACAAAACGGTTTCACCCAGAGAACAATTTTATAACAGCCAAACCAAAACCCAGAACTTCATCGGACAAAAGTTCAATTGGGACACGAGAGGAGACCCGCTGCAAAGTAATATCTTCTATTTTTCCTTAAGTTACATTATTTAAATTCTACAGGATTCACAAAAGTTTATTAACTTTGTTCTAGTAGGAGTCTGCAGACTTGTTGTGTCCACTGCTTGATACTATGATATAAATAACTCCCCTCACAGCATAACGGTGAAGTCGTGACCTCGGCTGGCCAGGAGCGGGAATTTCCCAACTGTTGCTCTAATTCTGACGTCCATTAATACGGGCCACGATGAAAAACATGTCATCTATTTTAGTCGGCGGCAGATGCTGGAGTCCTCACATGCTTTTCCGCTCCGACGCTGTGAAAGTGGGCCGCGAGCGTCACTGCGGACCTGCTTCACAATGTGCTCTGCTTCTTTGGGAAAATACCAGCGCAACCTTATTCAGAACTTACCACCAAGNANAGATGATGTAAAGCACTTTCAAATGCCTTGCTGCTGAAATGTGCTACACAGATACAATTTGATTGATTAAAATAACAAAAAGTTCAACATTACAGCGTAGTAAAATACTCCTAAAAGTACAAAAGTACCCCCCCCCACGCTCCCCCACGCCAAAAAAAAAGTAACTCAAGTAAATGTAATTGAGTAAATGGAGTTATAGTTACTATCCAACTCTGGCTAAATGTGAGCTCTGAAATCAGAGGGGAAACTAAAACAAAAGCATTCACGTTGCCCGGAATGAAAAAAAAAAAAGAAGTTGAAAGACTACAATAGTGGTCACGTGATATCATATATTTAGCATGAGTCACGTCCTTTGCATCATCACCGGCTGCTAGATGCTCACAGGTGCTTCCGAAAAGTTTCCCACGTGACCTCCCCCCCATCCCCACCCCCTCAGTCCCTCATTGTTTGAAGTCTTCACAAAGAGCGCTTCCACCGTCCATCAGCATCATGCTTCGGGTCGGTACCAGAGACCCACGCGCTGGATGAATGGGGACAGGACGGCGGGTTATACGCACGAGCTGCTTCTTCCACACTTCCAGCGCTTTCACTGGCCGTTCTGGTGGTGTGTGTATGTATGTGTGTGTGTGTATGTCACAAAGTTTTCTCGCTCATTATCATGCCTTACAGTGGAGTATGCGGGAATACACACCGGCCGGGCCAGAGTCGATGATGATTAAACGTGGGTGTGATGATTTTCTGGGACTTTAAGGAAGGAGGTCCGAGAGAGTTCACGCGCAAGATCTTCCAGCTTCAGAGATTAACCTGTGGGAGAGATGGCGGAGGAAATCCTCAACGATTTCTATCCGGATTTTAACGAGCTGGAGAGTAAGGTCGGGAGGAAAACGCCGGAAAGTCTCCTGGTTTGGATGAAGGACGCCGCTGCGGACTGCGAGGGATGGACAGCTGACCCGTCGGGCCGCTCGGATCACACCTCGGATGGTTTATCTGATAAAATCAACACCTTGAAACAAGAGATGGTAACCTTCTACCGATGCGTGAAAACTCGTCTAACTCGTTGGCGCGGTCTTTGATCGGTTCCTCTCGAAGAGTTTCGTTCTCTTTCACTGTACCTGCTCGTTTATTTTCGTGATTGTTGCGGCTGTCACCTGTCCCCTCACCACACCCCTCATCTGTCTCCACTCTCCTCACCTGCACATTCCTCCCACCGGTCTTTCCTCATTCCTCATTTTCAGCGTGAAAATCTCATGCCTTTTAAAATAAACATCTAACGCTCCCCTGGCTGCGTGACACATTTAACCACTTCTCAATTTTCAGTTTTTTTATTTTATTTTATTTTTGTATTTTAAAAGTTAATTTCAGAATTTTGATTTGGTAAAATACTGTCTTTGCAACAAAAACAAAAAAAAGAAAAAAAAGCTAAGTTCAGTATCATAACAAAATAAGTTTGCAGGAAGATAAAAACAAATACCAATATTGGTGAAAACACATAGCCACTTATTACTTTAATTTTGATATTTTCCTAATGTAAAATAAATGTTTGATTTGTAATTGCTATTATTTACTATGCATCATGCTTAGTTCTTAATGAATATTACTCGTCTCATATTCTCGAAGCACAGGCAAAATGCCTCCAAGTTGTTTGTCGTTTCTGGTTGATTGCTGGCTGAGTTTTATTATTATTATTATTTAGTGCAGTTACACCTCTAGGCCAATAGGTGTCAGCATACAAAGTGACACTTCAGTCTAGTGATCCTGAACTCTGCTCCTCAGGATAGGAATGCACGATGTAGCGATATTTAATTGATTTATTACGATAACAATAAAAATGTTAAATATCATTTTTTTTAATGCTATTTAGAACATAAATAATAAGTCTAGATGTTTAAAAATTGTAGTTATTAAATTAGTTGTTTTTCCCAAACTACATTTAATTATAGTTTTAATATTTTTTTTATTTATATTTTATTTTTTACTGCTCTTCTAGGACTTACAGGGAAAACATATTTTCATATATCAGTCCCAATAATTCTTTGTCTTTTGGAATTAGTAAAATGTAAATTAAAACAAAATAAGTATGATGATTTCAAAAAGTATCAATAACTGGTTCAATAATTGCCTGGCATGTTTTAGGTATTTAACCACTGCCGCTCACTTGACTTAAATGAATGGATCATTTAAAAAAAAAATTTATTAGCACCAATAGATAACATAATGTTAACTATATTTAGCTGAATTAGGTGTAATATAATAGATGCATTTAAAACCTGCTGGTTTTAGGAAGTGATTCATTGTGTAAACCATCAACACCGATCAACCCTGAATGAAAAGGCAAAGGTTCAGTAACATTTCACACATGCACACGTGTAAAAGCATCTGCTCTGTCCCTGCAGCGGTGGCTCCGCTGTGCCGACGTGAGGATCCTGCGGCAGCTGGTGGCCGTGCACGAAGGCATTGAGGCCATGCGCTGGCTGATGGAGGAGAGGGGTCTCCAGACCAGCCGGTGCAGCAGCTTATCGGGCAGCCTGAGCAGCTTGGTGACCATCGAGGAGCACGTTCCCTCAATGTCTCCCTGCAGGTGCGTTGAGAGACCGCAAAGCAGGCGAGGAGAATCAGCTTCAGAGACTAACAGAAGTATTTTAAAGTCTAATCTCTGAGCTATACATGGAGCCAGTGGAAGGACTTTAGATGAGCTCCATCGTCTTGATTTTAGTGAGAATCCCAGCAGCAGTGATGAGACACTGTTGCAGTAATCACTGCGACTAAGGATGAGTTTCTCTAGATCTGGTTGACACATCAGTCCATTAATCCTAGAAATGTTCTTCAGGTGACAGAAGGCCGAATTTGTAGCTATCTTTATGTGATGCTGAAGGTTCAGCTCAGAGTCAATCACTACACCAAAATTTCGGACCTGATCGCTAGATGTAATAAGTGAATCTTCGTACTCACTCTTGTTTGTTTAGAAGATTAGTTCCTTTATTTTTCATTTCCAATAACACACAATTTCAAAAGGTGAGGTAAAATTTTGATTTTGAGTGAATTTCCTTAATTTTATTCACATTTAACAAAGATTTCTAGATTCGCTCAAACCTAGAAAACCTTCCCTGAACATCTTTTACAGATTAGCGAAGTGAACAGGTTATGTTAGGTCTTTCCTTTCAGATTATTCAAAGTGTAACTTTCTGTTGCCTCTGTTATTTCCACAGAGAGGACCCAACTCCTGCTTTCCTTCAGGATCTAAGGCTAACAGCCAATACAAAACCAGCAGATCAAAACCCACCACGCGCCGAGACGTCTGAACTCCAGTCTCCCTCCGAATCAATCCAAGTTGAAAGTTACGCTCAGGCTCCACTTCCTGCCGCCAACAGTTTGGACAGCGCTGACACGCCCAAATCGGAAGCCCTGGAGTTGGGTTCGGCGCGGTTTCACATCAGAAACGGCGCCGAGACCATCAAGAGAGCTCTGCTCAGGTCCAGCAGAAGAAAGCAACTGAAAGCTGCCAGTCAGGACGCAGGAGAGAAAAACTCTGAACGTCCAACTCAGCAGAGTTTATCTGTGTTCAATAGACAGGAAGTGAAGAAGGACGAGGATGAGTGTTCAGCTGGTGGGGAGAAAGACTTACTGGGTTATGATGCTCAGTGGTGCTGGGTGGAGTCCAAGGATGATGTCACATTTTTATGATCTTCCATGCGGACATTTTAAGTTACAGCTTTGCCTTTTAAACTGTAAGCTTCTGGAGAAAAGGTGGAACTTAAAATGAACTTTGACACCAAGTGAAACTTGAACGTATTTAATGCAGATTTATGCTTCGGCCAACTCAGGAAGTCCTGTTTGGAGTTCTCCACAAGCCAGGAGGACACGGCAAATGTTCAGTTCAAAAATACTTTATTGATCCCAAAGGGAAATTAAATAACTTAACATACATATACATAAACAAGTGGGAGAAGGTGATATTATCAGATGAGACCAAAATGAACTTTTTGAACTTCATGCAAAACAGTTTGTGGAATAGAAAGTTAACAATGCAATATAATGATGACTAAAGGTGTTTCCAGAAAATATTGATTTGAGCCTGAATATAAATACACCTCACACTTTTCAGGTTATTTGTACAAAATAAATAAAACAATTCAAAACCATGGACTCCTTTTTCTTCCTCTTCACAGTTATGTATTGCCCTTAAATCTCTCCCATATATCTTAGTAGTGTGCAGCTGTATCTAGACATAATTCTATCAAATATGCTTACATCTGCCACTAAATGAAATTGCCATTTAATTAATTAATGAATTGTCCAATTAACAGTTTCTATGTTTGGAGAAGAGAACCATTATTATTCATTTATAACTACCAGAAACTAGTCCAGAAATAGATTTTTTTAAAAAGTTATATAACTTAAAATTTAGGAGGCCATATTTTGTTTTACTGTAGTTAAAAGTGCCACAATAATGACATTAAAAAAATGCTTTACAGTGTTACTACTTTTATGTTACTTTTAGAACTTATTTTTTGATAGCTTAGTTGTTTTACGACATTCAGAATGACTACTGTAACAGAATTTGACATAAATTAACAATTTTTACGCTTTTTTCCGTTTCCATTTGCTTTGTCATAAAAATCGTAACTTGTCACCAGTAACTAATGACCAACAAATAAAGACAAGCGAGGTTTGGACGTTTCAAGCAGATTTTTCCTACAGCACTCAAACGCCCCCTGCAGACACGCTCGTGACGCACCACGTAGTCGCACAGAAACCCGGAAGTGCTAACCAGGTATGTTTTTTCTTTTTTTTTTTTTAGTTGAAGGTATGTGTGGTAACACAGGTGGACTCGGGAAGATGTGACGAGTTGGTTTGTCGGAGAGAAAAGATGGAGGCCTGCTTTCTGCGTTGGTTGCTTTTCGTCGCGCTGACATCCTGGGCGTTAGGAGACGGTAAGAGTTTTATCAAGAGAAGGGCAAATATTAGCATGGCTGCTAACGAATGTTGACTTTTTGTTTTTAAGTTACGACGGCAACGACGAAGAAACGTCGTAAAACCTACAAATTTCGAAAATGGTCTCTATGTGCATGTGGTTTTCCTTTTATCGCTATTATGAATGAGTGTCACTTTTTACTTTAATATGCTACAACTGTTTTCTATATTACAGAAATGCACTGATCAGACTGTTCCTGTCCGATGCCGATTTCTTGTTTTCTCTAAGGTCCAATCTATTTTCTTTATTCTGTAACACAGAAAAGAGCAAATCGATGTTCTTCAGGATGTTTGATAGTTAGTAGTTTATAATTTAACAATAAATGGAAGAATTAAAGTACATTTCCCTACATTTTCAGTTTTTAAAAAAAATCTAGCTTAAAACATGGGTGTCGAGTTTGTCCTGTATATCTAATCAATAGGAAAAAAAACATTTTTTTTTGTTTTTGTTTTTGACGTGTTATTTGTGAAATATGACCTTTGCTGGTCACCTTTTTAAAGTTCTACATTTAAAGAATAGTAGATGGCAGTCGTATCACTGAAAAGTGTAACTCTTTACTATGAATATCAGTTGAAAAACTCCAAGCATAAAGTCCAAAAAAGGAAGGGAACAATTAACTCTATGATAAAAAAATAAACAGGTAAATAAGAAAGTGTTTCTTTTTTTTCTTCTTCTCATCTAACCAAAAGGCAGCACCTCCCATGATACCTGCAGCCTCAGGCACTCGTCTACCCATTTCTTATGTTCGTTGTTCTTTCTTTGTTCTTTAGATGAGCTGTACTGAAACACATTTTGTTGTGCTTCTGTGCAAGGACCATAAAAGATGATTCTGATTCAGAAACACTTATTTCAATCATTTTTCTGAGACTGGGTTGATATCAAGTGGCAAATGTCCTCTTTTGAAAGGTTTTTAACCCTTTTAAGCTTTCAAAAGAGGACTTTGTTTGCAAAGTCAAGAATGTTAAACTAGTCATCTTTTTTTTTTTTTTCTTTTTTTTTCCACATACTTTCTATACTAATGGATTACTAACGCTGCTTTTCGACTGTGTGACGAATGTTTTGGCCTTTTAAACAAACCTTTTCTTCCCTGCAGACGGACAAGTGACTTTTGAGTCCGAGCTGTCGTCCAAACCCGCTCAGAAGTTGTCGAAGTACGGCTGGTACGCCAGCGTCAGGCTGCAGAGGTTCCACATACCGGAGCAGACCGCCGTCGCTCGCTGGCTCTTCTCAGTGAAAAAGGGCCACAGCTTCAACTGTGGGCAGCACAACGTCAGCATGTAAGCCACGAGACGCTGCTACGGAACAAGAAATCTGTCGTTACTGGCTGATTTTTATTTGTACCAAATTCAACTTTCTTTTTCTTTTTTTTTCCCAGCCACCTCCGATGGGGCGCTCCTCCCGTCATAAACCCAACAGAGACTGTGTTTCCAAATGCGACCCTGTGGGGCCCCTCCTTGTCCCTGATTCTAGCGGTAACCTCCCAGAGCTCCACGACCTTTAACCTCTCCGATCCGGCTCCGGGGGATTGGTTCGTCGCTGCGCACTTACCGGAGGACGACGGGCGCATAGAGCAGAAGGTTTGTTCTGGGATTTTGTTTTCTAAAAATGAAATAAAATTTGACTTTACAAGTGAAACTCTCATAATGCCAGAGATGCTTGCAATTAGGCTTTAAGATAAAAAAATAATAATAATAATAATTAAGCATGCTTTTTTTCCCCCTCCCCCCTCAATTGTTAATTTTTCTAAAATCAAGCAATGCTTAGCCTAGACGGGGGTCTAGTAAAGCATGGTGGGCCGCCAGGCTTATAATACTCTGGGGGAAACCCTGTACTACTGGTATCTATGTTGCTGCTGGTATGATTGTGTTTTTATTCTTATGAGAAAGTGAGCAAATCAATCCCTGGCCACCACAGAACTCTGATAAGGACGTCACTTAGATTTTAATAAGTCTTCGCCATCTAAAAAGCATTTTCTGATCCTCTAAATAATTAAATTTTTGGCAGAATTGCTCCTTGAATTTCAATTCTATTCGGGTTTTATGTACTAGCATATTAGAAACTCTATGTCTTGTTTAGGGCTAATAATAGATAATGGATTATATTTCATCCCATAAGGGATGACGTTAGTTGTGGAACAATGGTTTCGAAGAATCAGTCCACAACAATATCCTCCCAAGAAGTGGGGGGGAAAAAGTGAAAACAAAGTTTCATTTTTTTCAGTAAGAAGTAGAAATTTAATTTAACGCCTCTCTGTTAACCACGGTCATCAAATGAAAGGGATGTGGGTGTGACAAGGCATTTGATTGGATGCAAACATCACAATCGCAGCGTAACATTAGCCTGACTGGTTGGTGTAGGCCAGCACGCGATCACTCCACCTGTAAACCACCAGAGTTGATAATCACACTTTGTGGGAAAAACTTTTTTCTTTTTCTTTTTTTACTTGAACTCTGGGAGCTTTCCTGTTGATGTTGTAATTTCTAATCTATTTTTGAAGATCATTGTTGTCACCCTCTTACTGTATTTTGGTGAACCATGCAGTAATTGTATGAAACATCTCAGCAGTGAATGAAAACAGGAGAAAATCTCACTTTTCTACTCATGGGTTTACTGCTTTACATTAATGCAGCAAACTTTCACACCACCTAAAGAGTATTGGTTAATATACAGTTAGTTTTCTAACATTGCACAATAATACAAATCTCTTCAAGCTAATGCTAATCACTTTAAGCTAATGCTAACCAACATGTAGTGATTGAAAGGGAAGTCAAAATACTGATATGCAACCATATTGCAGCTGCAGTCATTCCTTTGGCTCGGACACGGAGGAAAAATTCGTAGCTACAGCCTATTACCTTGGATTTTCATACAGGTTTATAGACGGCAGTTATTCATTTATTTGTGCTGACACTGGAAAAGTAGAACTGTACATCTGTCAAGCAAATCATGTAATTTCATTTTATTCTAAGTTGGAGCTTTCTGTTTTTGTCTAACTCTAAAATTCTATATATTTTTATTAAAATAAACAAAGGTTAAAGGTTCTGTTGGATAATTTACTTCACATTTCTTGCGCCACCGGCTCCCAGCACTTACCTGTGACTTACTTTTCGGACAAAAGTGGAACCAAGCCGTCGTCTTCCAGTGTAAGCGATCTGGGTGTGATGGAGCCTTTTATCGGATGTAATCATCACAGCGTAACGTGAGCCTGGCTGCTTTCTTTAATCTGAACTGTAATATGTGCAGCAGGATATGAATGTAAAGTCCAGTTTGCCTCCTGTGAAACCATGTAAGCCTGTAAGCCATCATGATGAGGTTGTGTACGTTGCCATGGCAGCGTTTCTGTAAAAATTCCTAGTTTCTACCTCCGACCTGCTGAACTGGAGCGGTGGCTGTTTGCTGAGCAACATTCCTTCCATTTAGTCAGCAGGTTGGTTTGATAAACAATGTCTTGATTGGAAGCAACTATTTTTTTCCCCCCCTTTCAGTCTGAGTTTGATTTTATTACTGTTTATGTCCTTGTATATAAGTGAAGTGACATGATTTATTTATTTTTTCATGTTTCAGGGTTTCCCGTCCTGCTCCTATTACTTCCAGCCCCAGCTGTCGGTCAGGAGAGCGGCGGACACGCCCGTCCTGCAGCCGGGAACCGTCCTGACTCAGACTGCAGCCCCCGACAGACCCGCACGTCTCAAGTAACTACCGCGACACGGTGTCCACATTTTTTTGAAATGGTGTCTCATTAATTCAGATGTGCTAAATCGTGGCAGGTTGTTTGTGCCGGAGTTTACCTCGTGTCTCTCGGTTTCCGTGGCCGGGTGCTCGTCCGGCGAGGCGTTGGAGAGCGCCGGCTGCTCGCTGCTCCTCAGGCTGGGCTCGGCGTCGCTGCAGCACAGCCAGACGGAGCTGAACTGCTCTGGGGTCAGCTGCACCGCGTCCCTCTCTAACCCTCCATGGGACTCGTGGCTGCGGGTCGTTGTGGAGAGCAGCCAAGTCAACCAAACTGTGACCTTCAGGATTGGATCCAACTTCACAGGTGAGCACTGAGCTCTTTTGTAATTCATTCTTTTCTTTTTTTTGCACATTTCAGCATGTTACAACGAGGGATGCGCTGGTTTTTTTAAACTTCTGATACCGATATCTGAGGTTTAGCATCGACTGATACCGATCTGATCCAGAAAGACGGAGCTGAATTGATTTGAAACATGTCTTTCTTTTTTTAACACAGACATATATATACTGAATTATAATTTTTTAATAACTCAATAACTCAGCACATGTGCTGAGTTATTGTATGGTTTACACCAACAGCTTAACAAACTTGATCAAACATGTAAAAACAACACAACTTTAATTTGTTCATTCAGTGTAATTAGATGTAGAATAGCCAATCTGAAATAAATAAAACCTAATAATTAGGGATAATTAGCTCTTTTTGATTTCATACCGATAACCAATAATAACTGACTGCCGGTAATACATAATACTCTAAACAAGACCAAAAACATTTCTTAAAGAACCACCAATTTATAGATGCACATTCCTCTGAGTCGACCTAATAACACAAAAGGATCAAAAATATTCCTGATATATCAGTAATATAACACTTTTGCAGTGAATCAGTTGAGAAAATCCGATTAATGTATTCTACAAAAACACTGCAAACTAGATTTTTGTAATGCCTATATTTAGAAATGATTCTTAATCGACGGTTTTTGTGAAGTAAAAAGTTTGAATTCTATGATTGTTGCTACTTTTTCTGGGTCTAATGCGGGAAAACAAAAACCCATCCAGGGTTATGAATGTGTTTGCTTTTTCTGTTTCTGTCTCGCTCAGTGGGATGTAAGCCAAAGAGCGTAGGCCTCACAGCGTACGATGACATCACAAAGCTACTTGGCAAGAGCAGCGTCTCCAACGCCACGGCGACGGGGAACGTCTCGGCGCCGGCTCCCCCGCCGCCGCTGGCGTCCCCGTGCGTGTGGAGCGTCCCTGTGCTCTACGAGGAGCTGGACGTTCTGTCGCTGCGGTACACCCCCGTCAACAGCTCCAACGTCAGCGTCACGGAAACGCACCCCACGCTGCTCACCTACCCGCTGCCCCCGCAGGCCACCGGGGGAACGCTCAACCTGCAGCTCACGCTCAATTCTGTGAGTAACGCTGACTGAACCACTGACGCGTGTGTGTGTGATTGTACTTAAACTGTTAAGACACACGGGTGAGATTTCTTTATTTGTTTGTGTTTTTTCTAATATAGACTAATGCGACTTTGGGGAATAACAGCATCGTGGCCTGTTTCTCTGCCTGGGCTCCGGTCCTCCAACTCAACCACTCTGAACCCTGCAGAACAGGTACAGGTGGACCTGGCACGATAAACCGTCCCAGAAGTTATCGCGATAAATGATAATATTGTTCCTTTGAGAGCATTTTCAAGTAATATAATGGTAATGACATAATAATGCAGGAACACGTTCTCAAAGATGAACAAACTGGAACTGGGAGACATTTCAAATATGCAAAATAAATAAACAAAACAACAGAAATGACAAATGAAATGAATTATGAAAACAAAATTGAACTTAAAAAAAAGGGGTCTAGTTGAGACAAAGGCACCCGACTGAAGATTTTTATCATTCAATTTATGGTAGAAAGACAGAAAAGAGAAAAATGATATATTATGGAAATGGACATTATTGAGTTAGTTTTAATTTATCATGTGATTATTTGACAGCCTTAGATTCAATATGAGTAACCTGCATAAAAAACATTGTAGCCTTCTATTCTGAGGTCAACTTTTCTGTCAAAACAGAAGAATTCAGAAGAACATTAAAACAATTTAATATTAATCTATGTATGATGTTCGTGGGTCTGATGGACCCCCTGCACTTTATTGTCGAAATTCAACACAAACTATAACTTTTTACTTTAAAATATAAAAACATGTTCACTCTAATTTCATCAGTATATGGTTGATTTTTTTTAATAAAAAAAAGTCCACCTGTTTGTGTTTTGTATATGACAAAAATGTGAATTCAGAAAGAGCAAATTTTCAATTCAGTATAGAAGTAAACATTGATGTTTACCTGTAAGGCTTTATGATGACTAACTTTTATTCTTTCTTTGACTTTTATTAAAATTTTCACACACAAAGAACACAAGTTGAATGCAAACGATAATCATAACCACTTTATATGACAGTAGATGTGTGACAGGGTTTAAATTCTGGACCATTATGAAGTTGTTGTTGACTTAAAGTTTTATTTGATGATTAGTCTGCATCAAATACGGACACAAAGTGTCAAAAAATGTCGGTACCTTCAGACATATGGGGATAACGGACGCCATCTTGTTGATTCTCTCCAGGTTTGTTTATGGGATACGCCGTCGGGATCAACGTCAGCGTCCCTAAAGCCATGGTCAGGCTGCCTTTCCCTCAGTCCACAACGTGGTACCTCACCCTGCAGCTCCTATGCAACAGGTAGAACACACACGCACGCTGCTGCAGCATCATGACTTGTTTCAGTCTGTGTGTAAGTCTGACAGTCTGAGAAAGTACTCATGCTTAAGCTGTTCCCGTGTGTTTTCTGCAGCAGTGACTGCGGTAACGCCTCGGTGGTGTCTGTGGTCCCGGAGGTGTCCGTCAGCGCCTGCGTGGACGACTGTGGGCCGTACGGTGAATGTAGGCTGCTGAGATCCTACACATACCTGTACTCTGCCTGTGTCTGCTCTGCAGGTAACACACACACACACACACATACTTTTACCTGTGTTGGCATCTTCAAGTGAAGTTGAGAGGTCATAGTGGTACATGGAGTCTCTGTGTGTGTTTTCTACTCACATGGTGTTTAGGGCAGAAACGATTAATTGGATTAATCAGATTAATTGTGATTAATCAATTTTTGAAATAATCGTCAACTAATCTAGTAATTGATTAATCGTTACATTTTGGAGTCTGGTACAAAGTCTCCAAAAAAAGCCATTTGCTGAAAGAATCAGAAGATTGATTAATCCAAAAGTACAGAAATAAATCTATATATTTTTATTTAAGAAAAAAAAAACTTTGCCTACAAATATGTTCCACCTAGAACTCAAGTGGCATAGTTTTAACTTTACCCAGATCAAATTCTGTAAAACCAAAAAAACTCTACTATTAAGCATCTTTTGATATCGATTTATTAAATATTTCATAGAGAAGTTTTTAAAAAATACTCTAAGCTGTAAGTCCGACAGAAAGTGTTGAGCTTTTCACATGTTGCAGATTCATCCTGTGCTACAAATCAAGTGTACACTAAAGGAATGATTCCGTAACAAAAGTTTGTTTTTTTTTTTTTTTTTTTTTTTTCAAAATCTCTTTCTTACTGTCTATTCAATGTCACATACTGTTTTTATTTTGTTTTGTTAATTATGTAAAGCACCTTGAAATGCCTTGCTGCTGAAATGTGCTATACAAACAAAATTTGATTGATTGATTGATTGAATGGAGTAATCCATTACTAAAGTAATCTCTAGTTGCTGCCCTTTTGTTGTGAATGCGTTGGTGGAAGCAGAAATGTCAAACACCAACACCGATGCGTCCATCATCTTTTTCCACACCTGCAGGCTGGAAAGGTTGGGGCTGCACCGACGGCTCCACCGCCCAGTCGTACGCCCGCCAGCTGACGGCAACCATGTTGCTGACGCTCAGCAACCTGTTCTTCCTGCCCGCCATCGTGGTCGCCACCAGACGCTCCTACATCACCGAGGCCTTCGTCTACCTCTTCACCATGTTCTTCTCTACGGTAAGGACTACTGCCGATCAAATGTGAGGGAACAAACCTCTTCAGGCTGAAATGACAAAGCTTCTGGGAATCTTACCTTATGACTAAAGACACATGGAGACATTACACTAAACACTACGAAGTCATCTGGTCCTCAGGTACTGAACCAGGATGTTACTGAACCAACTTTGGACTTGTTGACGCCAGTTTTTAAGAATTGCTGCAGCTATCGATTATTTTAGTAATTGATTACTCTGATGATTAAGAAGCCTCATTTGTTTTAGAGGTGCTGAATGTAGGACAGTGTCCATGTTTCACTGATCTGTGTCCAGGGTGATGTTCAGTGTTTGTAGGTACTATCAGTATTTAGAGGCTGAATGTGGATCCATGTGGAGCACAGGAAGTCTTCAGTACATCCTCTCCTTTCCCCTCCCCTCCCTGAAGTTCTACCACGCCTGCGACCAGCCCGGCGCGGCGGTCCTGTGCATCATGGACTACGACGCCCTGCAGTACTGCGACTTCCTTGGCTCCATCTGCTCCATCTGGGTCACCATCCTCTGCATGGCTCGCCTGGGAGACACAGCCAAATACGTAAGAGGCCTCTGGCCTTTTTCCTTCTATAATCAGCTCACAGGGTAACGACAGCTTTAGCATCCTCACCTGCTCTTTCCTTCCTTCCTTCCTTGTTGGTGTGCAGACTCTGTTTCTGCTCGGGGCCTTGCTGATAGCCATGTCAATGCAGCTGGACCGCAAGGGCCTGTGGAACCTGCTGGGCCCCATCCTGTGTGCCATACTTCTCATGGTCACTTCCTGGGTAAGAGACACGTCGGCATTTTTTATTTTTATTTTTTTAAGGTTAATTTGTGTATCTGTTTAGTTTTATTTATGCCACCTGGAGAGTGGAAGGGGTTGAAATTTTTGTAATAAAAAAATTGAACTACTTTGAACTAAAACAATGGCTATATAAGCAGAAAGGGGGGAAAAATAACACCTACTTTTTACGTGACGGCTTCTCTTGTTCTTGGCCAAAACGACCAACAGGTGTACAGATGCGTCCGCCGGCGACACTGCTATCCGCCCTCCTGGCGCCGCTGGGTCTTCTTCCTTCTGCCTGGAGCGCTGTGCGCCCTCATCGGAGTGTGTCTGTACGTCTTCGCCGAGACGGAGAGCAACTACTACTACACGCACTCGCTGTGGCACATCCTGGTGGCCGGCTGCGTGGTGTTCCTGCTGCCGCCCAAGGAGAAGGACCGGAAGGCGCTGGGCTGGAGCCGGGGCTTCAGCTGGAGCTGGAGGTGGAGCTGGAGGCCGCGGGTTTGTGGATACACGCTCTGCGAGAGCAGCAAAGACGAACTGTACACGGTCACATAGCAGAGGACGAGGCAGAGCGGGGCCGGCGTTTATTCAGTCTGACTCTTTACCTGGACGAGGCGTTTTCCTGTCTAAAGCTGTATATTCACATAAGTCCACATATATTTCATATTCACATGTGCTCCAAGTGGAAGAGGGGTCTTAGATTTAGATTTAGATAGAACATATATGCTCTTTGTAACCCACATCCAGTCTGCTGGAATCTCTAGAGAGATGCACCAATTAGATTTTTATAGCCGATTTCTGGCCTGTCATACAGATTTAATGTGATTCCAATTCTTCTTGAAGGACTTTACTGAAAAAATGTCAATCATACATATACATATATATATTTTTTACAGATTTCCACTCGCAGGCGGTATCAAGTTTATATAGGGAGCAGATGAGACGTCACACTGTGTGTGTTTGTGTAATACAGGAATTGATATAAAACAGTGTTTATTATTAGTTAAGAACAAAGACAAAATGATTTGAGTTGAAATTTTAAACCATATTTAATATCTTCCACCAGCACAGTCAGTCTGCTCAGATTTAGTAACTGTAAACAGTCTCTGGGTGCATTTTGTAACAGAACCCAAAGATTTCCAAAACGCTGCCAATATTTTCAGCTCCAATCTGTTCAAACATGGCAGAGCATGCCTTGCTAATTCTAAACAAAAAAAAAAACAGTACATGGTCACGAATTGAGATTCTGTAAGAGAAAGCTACTTTTCTTTTTTTGATAAAGTCGGGTTACAAAATGTACAAAAATGCAAATAAGTGAAATGATCAGCTCTCGCTGGCTGTAATCGGCCACTGGATAGAAATCATGTCTGCAGCGTATCAGTCCGACTAACCTGCTAAGATGTTCAGCTTACATCGTTCCTGACAAACAAACCAATGAATGAATAGCTCTCTGTTATGGCAGGCTGAATTAACAGTCAGCATGCCTCAGTAGAAAATGTGGTTCTTGTGCTTCCGTACTGATGTTTAATGCAATGGCAAACTTTGACTCATCTCCCTTCAGTAACAACTTCTCACTAAAAAGTGCTGATTCAGCACAACCTGTTAGCATTTAGGTGTATTCACTGGCAAAAAAATATATATATTTTTTTGTTTTTGCCCATGTATTGCTTATCGTTGGTCAGAACTGAACTAGTAGGAGATGATTCAATTTCAGTCAGCAGCTTATTTAAAAGATCCAATGTCTCTGTTGTTTCTTCTTAGATGTGGCCGCCGGTACCCTGAGGTAGCAGACCAGTACAGCTGGATTAATGCCTAAACAGGGTTGTTGAATTTGAAGTAAGAGTTTCACATTTGAAGAGGTGGATATTAGCTGGTCACCATAGTAACATTAGATAAGCTGTAACTGGCATCAGACAAGTTTTATATAGAGAGTTTCTGATCAAAATACCAATCAAAAGCATCTCGCTAGGCAGCCAGCTAGATGCTTTTCACTAGCTAAATCTTCTGCCACCCAGGTAATCTAAATCAGACAAGCTAGCTAAATCAAACTATTTCTAGCTAACAAAAACAGCTCAGCTAGCTAGAAACAAACAGTCTAGCTAAAGCTAGCTAGAAACAGTCAGTCTGCCAATAGCTAGCTAGAAACATTGTAGCTAACTGGAAAGAGTCTATCGCTAGCTAGAAACAGTAAGTCTGGCTATAGCTAGCTAGAAGCAGTCACAGTGTAGCTGTAGCTAGCTAGAAAGAGTCTGATTTATGTTTTTTTTTTTTTAGCTTCCATCGAGCTAGTTACCACAAAGAATTTCACTCTTGTTGTTTAGCAGCACTGATCAGATGTATTTGGCTAGTTTAATAGAAATATTTGACATACCAGTTCCAATTTAAAAAAGATGATTTAGGAACAATATTCAAAATATTTTCCTTGATTTAGTAAAAAGTGAAAAAAAGCACCCTCAATTATTCAAAATTTAGCATTTTTAACTTAAAGTAGTCAAATTCAGTTTCCAAAAGGCTAACGTTTCCAAATTCAGCATGATGTAAAGGTTAATGCTATACTCCATTCATCCTTCATATTGTCTATTTAAAGTCTTGCGCTCTCTCTCTCACACACCCTGAACAAACCAGAGACCTGTCTCAACTCATAGAAAGCAATTTTCTTTTTAAGATTTGTACGGCGTTCTCTTAATTCATTTTGGTAACACTTTATTTGAAGGGGGGTGAATAAGACTGTCATGACATCATCATAAAGATGACATAACACCTGTCATGCACATGAATAAGCCTTCATGAATATTTATGACTGTTGTCAAAAAGTCTCATTTGGTAAATTATGACACTTTTAATACAAAGTTGACATTATTCAAAATGTCTTTGTCATGACAACTTTACATTAACCAAGAAATCATTACTGTTTAAACTTTACCTTTAATAACATAAAGTTACCTAATTTTTAAAGTGCAATCAGTAATACTTTTATAACAAATTTATATCAGTAATGATTTCTTGGTTAATGTCAAGTTGTCATAACAAAGACATTTTGAATAATGTCAACTTTGTATTAAAAGTGGCATAATTTACTGAATGACGCTTTATGACAACAGTCATAAATATTCATGAAGGCTTATTCATATTCATGACATGTGTTATGTCATGTTGATGAAATTGTCATGACAGTCTTATTCACCCTCCTTCAAATAAAGTGTTACCTTCATTTTAAGCAGCTTATTAATAGAAATACTGGTAGTTTAGTCATAGTGCAGTCACTGATTGGAATTATTAATTTAAGGCTCAGCAAGTTGCCCAACAGGACAAATCAAACTAAAAATCATCTGGTGCATCTCTGTTTGTAGAGATTATTGTTTTGTTGTATTTATGCAATTTGTTAGACATGCTTGTCTAAATATATTTATAAATGATATTGCTTAATCTTAATCTTAAATCTCCACAAAGATGTTGTATTTATGAATGATGCGTTTTTTGTTTTCCCCCTGTAGGTCTGGGTTCAATTGGAAGAGTTTAAAACCCCAGATGAAATTTGAACAATAATTTACTGCCAGACAGGTACTATAATGCTATCGAATTTGTACTGTATTCTATCGCATTCATTGAAAAATGACGTATCCGATTACACCTCACAAATCCACCTAACTGCAGGAAACTGCTGCTGCTCATCACAATCACTTATTGTCTCCACACAGCGTCAGAATTCTGACAATCACATCTCAGTCTCATGGCTGCAGATCAGAACAACCTGGACGAGGAAAGCACAGAAGAAAATGTACGAAGAAACCAGATTTACTGAATCTGTTATTTGGGTAAGGTGGAATCTTTGTGAACCTTCCAGAAAAGGCAATATATGCGGTAAATGCAGTGTCCTTTTCTGCTATTGTAGACTTAAGGTAACAGAGAGCTCTTATCTGAACTCGTGTATCTTCAGTAGAATAACTCATGAATTTTGAAAAAAGATTCTGGAGGCAGCCATGACACGTTGCTACAACATTGTATGTGCCCCAGATTTCTTTTAAAGCCGCAAGCCAGACTTTTCAACGACTTCCATTCGATCACCATTCACATTTTAATTGTAGTATGTCATCCATACAAAACCCGTCGAGGTCAAATGTTCTCTTTATGCCTTTTTACTGTAAACTGTTTTTTTGTGAAGAAGAAAATGCCTGCCCTTGTAGAAGCACATCACAAAACACATTCAATCAGGGTTTTTTTCCTTTCCTTAAAAAAAACAAAAAAAACTTGTTTTTAATCCAGTTGGAGTCCAACTCAGCTGTGTGCCTGTAGCTATGCATCAAGCTAGATAGCTAGCTAGATGCAAAGCTTGCTCGCTAGCTAACTAGATTTAGCTCCTTTTTACTAACTAAATCTTTTGAGCTAGTAAAAAGATTTAGCATAGCTAAATCTTCTTAGCTAGTAAAAACAGCTACTTTTTACTAACTAAATCTTTTTAGCTGGTAAAAAGATTTGGTTTTTTTACTAGCAAAGTCTTCTAGCTTGCTAAATCAGACTAGCGAGCTAAATCATATGGAATTCTGTTTTTTATTACCCAGCTTTGTTTTTATTGTCGTGTGTCTCGGTGGAACATGACCTGGTAGGAATATTCTGCTTTGAACGAAGCCTCTTTGTGGAGGTAAAATGAAGAAAATGTTTTCTGTTCATCCGCAGCCTAAGAAATTACAACTCTTTAAGTTAATAAGATTTTTCTTTTCCACAGTTTTGGTGTGACATAAATCACTCATATGTATAAATCAGCACTCAAGTGAATGTATGCTAAGATTACTGGCCAGTGCCTCTTCCTTTTTGTCTTTTTTTTTTTTTATTGCACTTTATGTACGGTATAGGTTATAGGAGCTCTGTGGGGAGAGGGGGCGGGGCTTAGTCTCTTGTACCAGTAAAGCTACTGATATCTTGCTATATTTAATCCAAAACTCGAATCGTCTCATGTGTTACTTTGATCTAGTTTTCTCTTAAAAGCTTCCATTTCTCTCTGTTGTGACTTTGCACACATTTTCCCCTGATTGTTCAAGACCTGCACAGCCTTCCTTTTATTGCTTAGATTGTTTCTTCATAAAATGTAAGTTTGTCACTAAGACATTGGAATATGAGGGGGAAAAATAACTGACCACTGTGATTTACCAATTTTTTTGTTTGTTTGTTTTTCTCATCTAAGGATAGAAAATGTGATTCTGTTTCTTGTCACAATGGAATCGAGCATTGGAGAAATAAATCTACTGTGCAAGGAGAAAAGATTAATTTTGTGTTTTTACAATTGTGATTTTAGTCTTTTGTTGTTTTTTTCTGCCACACACACACACATACATACACACATGGAGGAAAATCCAGATTTTCAGCAGTGAGAGACCGGTGAAAAGAGGGAAGCAGATTATCGTAATCCTCAGAAATGTAGAAAGCAGTTCTGTTGAAATGCTCATAGCTGTGTGTTGTGTTCCTATATATAGCTTACCTCCATTAGGAAATTGCAACGGCCTTGAAAGGTTTCACAGATCAAACTGGCAGCTTTTCTGTAGCTGGAATATGAGAAGGCTAACACATGCATGTTAACTAGTTGGAAGCTTGTATGTGTTGAGTGAGTGAATTAGGAGTTTTGGAAGGTGGGGGGGAGTAGTTGCATGCTTTAATAACTCTAAAGTTTTTATTTTCTCTTTTTTTATGTTAGTCCCTATGATGGTGTATTCGGCCCATTGTAGATAAGGGGGGAAAAAAAGAGTAAATTTCCACCAAAAATTTCAGAAATTTTCTAAAAAACATCTTGGAAATATCTGCTGTGTTGCTGTATTCAAAATGTTGCTAGAAAAACCTGAAATTTTGAGATGAATCTCAGAAATATGAAGAAAATAAACTTCAAAAGTTCAACATTTTTGACTTTTGAAAATCAGAAATTTTCATGTTTTTATTCCTTTTTTTTCTAGCAAATTTGCAAATTTTCAACCTCAGAAATTTCCTTGTAATTTCTAGAAAACGTATGAGATTGTCTGGTGTAAATTGACTCATTTTTTCTCCATGTACACAGGTCGTTGTAATAGCCTGATTATCGTCTTAATGAAAGATTTATCATTTTGAATAGCTGAGCTGCCAGACGCAGCCAGTAGAGGGAGCCAGGCAGACAGAATGAACTACGGCTCACAGGAGCGTTGTCGGAGTTTAACACCAAGAAGCTTGTGTTTTTATATTTATGATAATGTAGTTTTGTAATCTACAACACAATTCAAAACTAAATTTAAAAAATTCATAATTTTTCCCGAGCTGTCTGGCAATACTAAGGTGTTTGTTTTCATGAGTAGGTCTCCAGCTTTTAACAGTTTTCTAAACTTTTTTGCTCATTTTCAGTCTGGTACATGACCTTTCTTTGTTTAGGCCTCTGATCTCTGACCTATGGCTCACCCAGGCGGTAAAGTATCATAACAGTAAGTTTATTATGTTGTATCATCAACTCGAGACTCGACAGAAAAGAGGTTTAATATTAACATTTGCTGGAAATGTGGTCATTTTGATTTTATCATTTGTCAGTTACAGTTAAAATCAGATGCTCAAATACACAGTTTAAAAGACGACCCATTTTCTGAAGAATGTTTTTTTTTTTTACATATTTGTTCAAACTGTTACCATGTCCTGATGGTTTGCCATTGGACAGATAAGCTGAAAAAATCGATTTCCTCCACCTCCTGCCAGAACTACCAAAGAAACTCACCGCCCCACCGCTCATGACTAAAAACAACCAATCAGAGCCAGGAGGCGGGTGTTGGCGCTGTCAATCATTCTTGTGAGGCTGCAATGCTAAAGACTGAGAAACGCCATTACGGGAAAACCGTTTATCCACCGTCATCGCTAACTATGCTAACTAGCCTAGCATTCATGAAGCCGGAAGTTAACTATGATTACCAGCATTGTTTACGTCTGTTTAATTCCAAAATAATCAGATAGACCTGATTCAAATTCAAAATCTTACGTAAACAGATGGTGATGTCATCGTTTTGCAGGCTTTTCATAGGGTATACCAGGTGAGTTAAATGGAGGCGCACGTCTGGATGACGCATCGCTTCTTTCTGTGACGTCGTAGCAAATCAGAAATCGGAAAGGAACTGTGGACCTTCACAGGTCGGTTTGGGTTCCCGGGTGTCTGAGCACGTTAGATACGGTACGTACCACCATTACACGGAGATAACAGAAAATATAACAAAGTAAGAGAAAAGACAAATAACTCATGAATGGACATTCTAACCACATGCAGAACTGATGGCAAACACAACGCCGACAGCTCTCGTGACTTTTTATTGGGATGAAAAACGTGCTCGAGCAAGATTTACAGCAATCACAATGGTGCGGCTCCAGCATGGGGTGGACTGGACAGACAGACGGAAGGAAAATATCACCGAAAAGGCTAACAAAGATATGTCTACATATGTCTGAGGGAGAAACTGAACAGCTGGAATGAAGGACAATATCTAAAGCAAATGGGCACAGCGCTGTTTGAGTTTAGGAAGGATGCAGAAAAGTTGCTGTGAACTGCTCATGCGCAGATGAGATGTTTCTGTTGCAGTAGCTCTGCCTCTTGCATTCAGAATGATTTTTAAGAAAACAGCTGAAGAGAATTAATCCATGGTTGGTTGCCGTGGTGAACGATGGAGAAGATGTAGGCTGGAGTAATGTTCTGAGGGGAAACCCCGGATCAGAAGTGGGAGCCCGCTGCGGAGTTGGTACCTGCTCGGCCGTCTTCCTCCACAGCCTGGGCGCCGGCCTGAGCCGGGGAGGGGCTGGAGTGCCGCTGGCGCCTCATGAAGGGGAACACGCTACGGGAGGCGAGAGGAGGACGGTTTGACTCACAGGCAGGCGCACTCACTCAGAGCAGAAATGTATGACGACATGTTAGAGCCATTGTAGATGGGAGGATTGGGGGGGGGGCAGGGTTAAATTTCCGCCAAACAAAATAAAAAATTTAGTTTTTCTAGAAATTTTTCATCTTTTCAAACTGCAAAATTTCTGTTTTTTTTTTCTTTAGAAAAGTTCTGATATTAATGTCAAAATTTCTGTTTTCTCTAGCAAATCTCCCAGTATTTTCTAGAAAATATCTGAGATTGTCAAAATTTCTGAGTTCTTTTCTTGCTAATTTTCTGAGGTTAACCTCAAAATTAATTTTTTTAAGCAAATTTCATATTTTCAAACTCAAAAATTTCTAAGTATTTTCTAGAAAATATCTTAGATTAATCTCAGAAAGATACTGGTTTTTTTTCCAGAAATTTTTGACTTTTCAAACTGAGAAATTTACCTTTATTTTGTATACAATTTCTGAGCTTAATTTCAAAATTTCAGATTTTTCTGGTGGAAAATTTGTCCCCTTTTTTTGTTTTTTCTGTCTACAACGGCCCCTAATATGCCGTTGTAGAAATGAGACGTTACCTTTTCTTGGTCTCCTGGGGGACGACGGCTTTAGCCAGCATGTTTTTGTACAGGTCAGATTTCAGATACCTGGGGTAAGAATCCTAGACGCACGTTGTTAAAGAATGGGAACACGAAATATATAATCCATGATCATCTTTTCCAAATTATCTGATAGGTGAAAACTGCTAAAAACCTTCTTCATGAGGAAGTAGATGTGCATCTGTGCGTCGTCCATGACGAAGCGATGCGGCCGTTTGATCCCCTCTAAGGTTTTATCCATCGTCTTGCTGTCGATGTTGACCCAACGGGCCGCTCCAGGGGCCAGGAAGTTTCTAAATAACAAAAAAAGTCAAATAAATAAATAAAAATCATGCTCCTAGATAGAGTTAAAAATCATGTGTACTGATCAACATTTTGTTTTGATTGTTCAAAATGGCCACCGTTATGAAAAGTGAATTTATGCACCATTATAATCAATTAGATGAATGTGTTTGGAGCCCTATAATTAATATATATGTATATATGATTCAAAATACCAATATTTTTGAACCCTGTGCCCTTTTTCTTGTGGACAGTTTTCAAAATGGTTGTAATGGAGAATATATGTTTGTACTAAAATCTGCAGTAGTCATTGCCAGTGGTGGACACGGCGAACCAACAAGTCCAATGAATTTGCTAAACAAAACTCTCAGGTCCGCTAATGCTGAACCACTAAACACATTTAAAAAATTAGCAGAAGCTAACGCTAACGGTTAAGACGACTGTCTCAGTCTGTGTCGCATCGTCTTCATTTCCTCCCAGTCGATGACTGATGAAACATAAAACCAAAGTCCTCAGTTTCAGTTTTGGCATCTGAGTTTGTCTCATCCCTTCAAAGTTGTAAGGTCGGCGGCCATCTTAAAAAAAAAAAAACGTCTGACATTCTGACATTCATGTGGCTACTGGGGAATTTGAAAAGCATACAACCTGAGGAGTGAGCATGCAAGTTTTTCTGCTTGTTTCCACAAACTGAAATATTTTTACATTATTACTACTAAATACATTTGTATTTAAGACACTGTAAACATTCAACCGGTTTGTGTGTGTGTGTGTGTGTGTGTGTGTGTGTGTGCGCGCGCGCACTCACTTGTAAACATCCTCCACTTTCTCTATGATCTTGGAACTTTCTCCGTGTCTAATTTCCTCACACGCCTGCCAGAAGTGCAGGTTCTCCGCTGAGAGTAACCACACAAACGCACACACGCATCCATGCACACACACACACACACACACACACACACACACACACACACATTGAGGAGCAGAAACAATGACGAAGGAAAGAAAATATATTTATAGCATAAGGAGGTCTCTGAGGAAAATGTTAGCCTCTGGCAATATTTTATAGGCCGTGTCTGCATGGATGAACAAATCCTTTAAGTAGTTTTTCCCTCCAGTTTCCATTCGTATCCTTTCTTTTCAGGATTTTTCTTCTATGGATGTTTTTCATCACAATTTGTTTTCTTTATCCATTGACTTTTTTTTGTCATCCTTTCTGTTAACTGGGTGTTGAAGTTATACTTCTTTTCTTCCTCTGATCTTTCAGGAGGAAACTCTGACTGCTATTATGAATATAGATCAAACTTAAAAGTAACATGTAGAGGATTTGACACATTAATTTCTATAAGAATCAGTATAAGAAGTACTTGAATGAAATTTTCATCAGACTGTCCCAGGTTTGCAGAGCTTCACCAGCGTTTCAGCCACTGATTCTCACCGCTGAACTCTTTCTCCAGGTAGGTCATGAACTCCCGCCTCCCCATGGCGTCGGACAGCAGCTCCATGAAGCTGAAGCTCCAGCGCTCCACGCGAAGACGAGTGGGAACGGGCACTCTGCAGCAAACACACACAGGTCATGTCATCAGACGGTTCCTGGTCAGTCAGTACAACAGTTTTTTTCCCCCTCTGTTGTTCTAGCCTTCTGACAGAACATCAGGCAAACATACGACAAAAGACGGTCCGAATGCGGAGAAGTAAGATCATGAGATGATCAAATTGTTTGTAAAAATGACTTTTGTCAGTCAAAAGCTTCCTACCCTTCGATATTTGTTTTAAATATTCGTGTAACTGTGGAACATTCCACTATAACACATGAACTAATTAGTTGAGTGGTTTTCAGATCGCAGCATATTCAACGTGTTTTAATGACTCGGTCGATCTCCAGACCTCAGTCCAACTGCTGCGGAGCCTCTCCATTAAAACTTTAGCTATTTTAAAAATAAGAATTGGCAAGAATGTTAGACTGTAGATGTGCAAAGCTGGCAGAAACTCGATCCAGAAGACCTGCAGCAGAAAGTTTAATGGAGGACTGACTCATTGGCGCCATGAATCATTTTCCTTTTATTTCACAGTAATGCGCGACCTTGAGTTGGTCTAACAAGTAACAGTTACAGTTTGTTAGTAAGTTAGTTAGTACAGATGACCAACACTGATCAATGTCTAGACCTTTATCACTTTATAGAGACGGTCTTTGTTGCTGTATCGATGTTAGTTATTTAGTTAGTACACCTGATCATTTCTGGTATGCTCGTATCATTGTTAGTTAGTTAATTAGCGTGGATGGACAAAATTGATTAATGCCTTGACATCAATCTGTTTCTTAGTTAATCACATTTAATAGTTGTATCAAAGTTAGTTAGTTAGTTAGTAAAGATGGAAACACAACTATCCAAACATTTATCACTTTCTATAATCACTCTCTGTAGCTACCTGGATCAATAGTGGTTATTTAGTCCATCAGTTGGTTAGTACACTGAATAATTTCTATGCACTGGTCATTCTTTGTCATCGCTGTGGTTGTATCAACACCAGTTGGTTAGAAACCTTAAAATTCACAACAACAACAAAAAAGCTTGTAGAATCAATCAAAGTTGAATTTATTTCAGGGTTTAGTAGGTGTATATATATATATATATGTATATATATATATATAAAGAGTTTCTCTGACAATGTTTTGGAGAAATCCAGCCAACTGAGAAATCTGTGATGGAAACTAAAGATTAGAGTGACTGCATGGAAACCTTCCAACCCTGTCAGACGGAGGAGGAGGGGTGTGACTATCCCACAGGAGACGTGCAGAAAAGCTTATTAATTATAGGACCAACCAGACGGTTGTGGTGACATGAAGAACCGAATCATTTTAGATTCTTTTGTTCTGCAATTAGCTTAACCGTCGCCAAACTTCAACAAAAGCTAGCTTGGCTACGTCTTTCTCGTTGAGTTCCAGTAAAAGCGGTGAACTCCACCGGTACGATCGCGTCTCGTCTTACATTTCTGAGTTCATCGTCCAGTATGCAATGTCATCAGAGATCCAGGGGTTACTGGGAAGGCAGCCCTGCATTATGGGATCGTGGTTCTGGTACTGCTCGCTGTACTTGACAAAGCTGCACAGATGCAAAGGCATGCCGCACACACACAAAAACACCCGCACACACACACACACACACACACACAGATTTATTGTATTAGTGCAGCAGAACGCAGCAGTTAATGGCCACTAATTCCAACTTGCCCTAGGAAGGCTCCATTAGCTGCTCTTATGGAGGGAGCAGTAAGCTTAGTGGGTGGAGGAATTTGGTCCAAGCAACAGCGTGTCCATTAGATCTTATGTGCATAAGGCGCACATGTGAACGTGTGCGCCTTATGCACATAAGATCTAATGGACACATGAGAACGTGCGCGCAGACCTAAATCGAACCGACACATACCCTTCGAGGCAGACAGAGGACTTTACTCGGTTTCTTCCGAGGGCTCGTCTGGATGTTTCAATCTGTTAAGGATGAAGACAGATGTGATAAACGCGTCGCTGCACGTCTGAGCTGCAGCGACGCGTTATTTACCTCGCTTTTGTAGTAGTCGCTGTTCTAGTTCTGGAAGACGGTGAGACGGCATTGTCAACTTAAGGTTGCACACTGACTTGATTTGCAGGTAGATGTAACAGCTGTCAACAAATCGAGCACTTACTTTGACGTAACCCGAGCAGCAAGAAAAACAAAGAAAAAAGGAAAGCAGCGGCAGAGTTAGAGAGAGAGGGTAATGCTAATGCAATAAACTGATTGAAATGGGGGAGAAGATGAGGATCCGACCAGAGGGACTCGTGTGCTGGAGTTGTTTGGTCGCTCCAGACCCCAGTCCAACATGTTCTGCACCCCGGGCTAAGAAAAATAATAACAAAAAACATTATAACTAAGGATGAAACCTTTATAACGAATAAATATATTTTTTTTACATATTTGCTGAAACTCGTGAAAGTATGGTATGAGAAAAATAATCTGTGAAAAGATTGATCTCCTCCGCTCTCCTCTTCCTTTAGCCGCTATGCAGTCTGAAGAAATGCACCAACCAAAAACAACCAATCAGAGCCAGGAGGCGGGTCTTGGCACTGTCAGTCACGCTCGTGTACGCCGCTCAGTGTGCGAATGGCGGAGAAGCATATTGCCATTACAGAAAAAAAAAATGCTTATCTGCTGCCATGCTAATTAGCCGTAGCATTCACAACAGGCTATGCTAACTGCAGCATAGCTTGTTTTATTCCCCCCCCCCCACAGATTATGTATGATGCCATACTGTCGCAACATAGCAGCAGTTTCAATTCAACAAATATGTTAAAAAATATATTTTTATAAAAGTTACACAATGCTGCTTTAAATGTGTACAATTAGACATATTATAAAGCATTTTGGGTCTGCTGTGTGTTTGTACAGAAATGTGTCGCGCTGACTGGACAAGTTTGAACCTTCCTGTTGTTTTCCACACCACCAACTCTTCCTTCAATTCCAAAGTTTTTTTTCTCTTCCCTGAGCCCTCTTCCTTAATTCATAAGGTCTACCACATGGAGTCCCTATGCAAACCCTGCTACACCTCACAGCTCTCTCCTTCGCGTCTTTCCTCCACTTTTTTCCTTTAAACCTCTCCTCTTCCTCTGCATGTGTTTGTGTGAGGATAAAAGGAGGTTTATGCACTGAAGAGCTGGAGATTTTCTTATTTCTTTCCACCCCACAACACTGTGTCTGTGCTTTTGTCAGCTCTGGCTTTTAACAGATAGTCTGAATATTGCATGCGGTGAGGCACATGCGGGGAACTGTGGATGAGCATTAGTGGGACCTCTGATTGTGCGGTCCTTAACAGTTTTTCAATAGCTACCGTTGTAGCTTAAAAAAAAAAGCAGTAGTGAATCAGATAGTTATTGTGGAATAATTGGATTTTAAAAACACAAATCATAAACTTGTATAAAAATTGGTTCACATGATGCAAGCACAAAGTACGAAATTGGAACTGGAGAAACCGTAACTTTTTTAACATCCACAGTAAGGATTAGGGCTGCATCTAATGATTATCTTAGTAGTCAATTCTTCTGACAATTAGTCAGACTGAAAAGTTGGCACATTCTACATATTTTTCCATTAATCACTTAAGTCTTTTCATACAATATTAGAGGTCTAGTAAAAGATCCAAATGAACAAATAATCTTATTCCCTTTTTAAATAAGAAAAATAAACATTTTGTTGCCTAAAATGCAATATAGCATTACTTTTGTAAAGCTGGACTGGGTGAAACTAAAACTATACCACTACAAAAGTTTTGACTAAAGCATATTTACCAATGTGTAGTGATATAGCACAGTAGCTACAATAAAGTGTATCCTAGCATAGCATGATAGTTCTGACTAGCCTAGGATAGCATAGCATCAAATAATATAGTGTTTGAGTCAAGCCTAGCTTAACATAGTATACTTAGCATATCATAGCATAACAGGTATAATATAGTATTGGATAGCATAGTATAAGATAGTATGGCAAAGTACAGGATAATACAGCTTGGCATGGTATTATATAGCATAGCATAGCATTTTATGACATAGCATAGAATGGTTATAATATAGCATAGCATATCATGGCATAACATAGCATGGGATAATGTAGCATAGTGTGACATAGCACAGAAATTAAAGGGCTCTTCAGCCTGTAACAGAGCTAATTTGAGCACGTTTTCAATGTTTTTTCTTTAAATATCTACACAGATATTTGCACAGCAAAAGTAATGGCACAAAGAATCCATTAGGTTACAAATCACGCACTTGCCCATTTTATTCCCACAAGTAAGGAATGCTCCATTCCAGAAACCTCTCTGTGTCTGTCTGCAAAGTACAATTTTTTTTTTCTTTGTTCCAAAAACCTAAATGCAGAAATCAACTCTTTTCTCTGTCATCATAAATTGGTCAAGCTTCCCAGAGCAGGTTTGTGTGAAGCTTCATGGGTTAATCATAATGTCTTTTTCTAAAGGGTACCATAACTTTTGCTGCTTTAGACGAATTGCATTAGTATAGAAAAGAAAGCAGTATTGGTGTAATGGTGAGACTACCGGCGGCCTGTTGATGAGCCAGTATGCCTGCTCCTGACATTCTAGGACAATTCGGTCGGCCTTCCTCCTCTGTTTGGAGGCCCTATAAACAGAAATCACAGCGGAAGTTGGTATGCATGTTTAATGGCGCGTGGGAGCGGCGCGGCTGCGTGTAAGTGCACCTCAGTTGCTCTCTGGCTTGCATCACCACAAAGTCCCAGGTGTGGTTGATCCGCTTGTGCAACAGACTGTACCTCTCCTAAAAAGGCATGAGGGTGGGGTGGGGAGAAACGGACGGAAGAGGAGTGATGACACAAGCAAACTCATTCCTACATAATTCATCACACACACTCATTCTCTGCTTCTAGGATACACACGCACACGGTCCCTACCTTTTCATATTCCATCAGTTCTCCTTGTTTTCTGATGTTCTTTTTAGCCAAGTAGATCGCTGTGGACGCAACAGCGAAGAGAAATACAAAAGAGAGAAGATTAGTGCCAATTCTGTCTTTTTCTTCCTTATGAGGTTTAAAAACATTTTACAGATTTTCCTACCATAGTCCAGCTCTGAGGCGGGCCAGCGGGTACTTGTCCAGAAATAAGGAGTCTGGGAAAAACACAGCAATTTTTTTTTTTTTAAACTGATATCGTTCTTCACACGGACAATAAAAGAAGAGAAACAGACGCTGACAGATGGATGAGGGGATTCATTTAGGAATTTGACTGATGGAGACACAGAGTGAAAATCGGAGATAAGATACTATCAGAGTTAAAGTGGCAGTGTAGGTAAAGTTAGGCGTAAGGAAGACATTTTTCTTTTCTTGCTGTGGATACAAACATGCAGCTGATGGTCTGACCTGGAAGCGGTAAGGCGACTCGTCGGGTCGTAACACCAGGCAGCGGGGCTCTTTGAGAGGGTAGATGTATCCGTATTTGACCAGCATCTCACCAAGATGCAGGGCCTCTGATAAACAAAGAAAAAGAAGAAGACGAGAATATGCATTAGGAAGTGTAATATTAAGAAAACATATTCATGATTTTTGGCAGTTTGTCTACAAAGACAATTTGAATAGCATTTCATTCACTTGTATGTAGTCCCACTGACAGTGGCGCCTCCCCGGAAAATTTTCCATAGGAGTTTCCAGACCGGCCTGGTAAAAAATTTAGATCTGGACTTCGACTAGACCATATTGCTGTGATCTAAATCATTCAGTTTGCCATCCCAGCAGTATATTTAGGCTCGCTGTCCTCCTGGAAGCGAACCTCCGCCCCGCTCTCAAGTCTTATTTTCAGGATTGCCCTTTATTAGCAGCTTCCTGCCTGTGGTGAAAAAATAAATAAAAAATCAACATGGCGATGATGTGTTAAGGATGATATCAGTTTTCTGAGACCACAGTTTTCTGTAGCCTCATCTGACCGGAACACGTTGTTAGCAAACGTTGTATGGCTCTTTTTCAACATCCCTATAGCATGATGCTGCCACCACCATGTTTCACCATAGGGTTGGTGTATATCTGGTAATATGCTCTTATTTTTCTACCAGATTAAACTGAAGTACTTAATTTCCACTATCACCATTTGCTTGCTCAGAAGACGGCGTTAAGGTTGGTGGAAATGGCCATCTTCTTTATGAAACCGTCACTGATAAACAGAGTGTCTTCAGTCAGAGGCTTCCTCAAATTTGTTGTAACATAGACTGCTACAGGAGATGAATCCTTCCCACAGACATCGCCATCTATAACAACCGTTTAATTGAACGAGCCAAAACAACATTTAAATTTCCCTTTGGGATCAAAAATGTATTTGTGAATTTTGAATTGAATTCAAATCATGTACTGAATTCAACTGCACTGAATTATACAAATAGTATCAAATGAGAATTCGATTAAATCCATTTAAATCAGACTATGTGATTTAATTGATCTGAAAGAGGAATTTCACATTGAAAAACAAAAATCTTAGTACTCTCATTCCGCCCCATATATAAGATGCCACCCTGGGTGATTGCCCATGCCGCCCATATCAGAAACAGTCACTGGTTCTGTGTAAAAATTGGATCCGTTTGGTGTTTAGAAGATGGTAGTTATGAATTGGCACTATATTAATAAACTGAACTGAGCTAAATTAAAGTTTTAGGGACCTATTTTTTGAGTGACACCTTATTACCTTCATTCACACTCTTAAGTCCATACAGGGTGAAAAAGGAACAGTGTACACCTTTTTTTTCCAACCTTCAAATTAGTTCAGGCATGGTAATATCCCCTGAGGACCTCCACCACGAGAGAACACTAATCAAACGCACATCATCAAGCGACTTAATCAAACTCCGGCCCAACGGGGCTCACTCTATTCCTGTTTACTGGAAACTGCCACCCCTGGATTCTGGATCACACACACGCACGCACACACACACACCCGAATCACATCTACCTCGTCTCTCGTCTCATCTTGAGAGCAAACACCATATCCTGGCAACTCTCCTATGACACACAACAAGCTATAGTCACACACCTTTTATCACCCAGAGCACTCACCCTCCTCACAGATGTGGTATTTCTGAATCAGCCAGGTAATTATATCGTGGCCTGTAAAATTAAAAACATGAAAATGTAATTTAAAAAGTATAATTTCTGATATTCTGGAAGGTCCCTTTTTTGTTGTCATATTTTGGTTGTTAGCAGACAATAAAAGTGTTTTCACAAATACACACACCTGTCATGGCGTGTGGGATGACAGTGATGAGGAGCCTCTGATTTCTCATCTTCATGCCCATGTCAGGGTCCTGCATGGCCACGAGCACTTTCTCCATCTGTCGAATGGGGGCACGCGCGCACGAAACACAGAAAAGACTCGCATTAAACGCGCTCATCAATAAGTTAGAAGTTCAGAAACAAAACACAACCACGCTAAATCATGTTTTGATATATTCATTTTCTATTGTGAGGCAATAGAAAGTACCTCACAATAGAAGGCATGTTGGGTTATCTCGGTTCGCTCCTGTTGTACAGTAGAATATATATATGTATATATAAAAACAACAGCTAGCGGATTTGAAAAGCGTTACCTTCCGAAAGCATGACATTTGCTCCGGCTGCAGACCTCCTTTAGCCAGGGTGTTAATTGTCATCTTGCGGGATGCTAGAGATCACCCGGCGGGACGGCGAAGTGCAAAACACCAAAGTGCTGTCGAGAGCGCGCGGCAGCGACAGTGCACCCTTCCCCCCCCCCTGCAGGCGCGTTTCCGTGAATACCGTGGGCGCGCTCGTGTCTATATAATGAAAAACCAAAGATTTGTAGTTGAATTCGTGTGTATTTTCTGTTACTTAGTGCAATAAAAACGTTTTTTTTTTATGTTGTATTTTTTGTGTATCACACAATAAAGCAAATTACCATGTTAAAAGTTTATTTTTGGTTAAAACAAATGCAAAAAAAATAAAAATAAATAAATAAAAAATGCAGTAATTACTCCGTGTTTTTCCTATCTAAACGAATAAACTAGTCACATCTGATTTATTTTTTTATTATTTTGTATTATTTTGATTTTATTTTGATGAAATATTTAAAGTGTGCTTATAAATAAAATCCATGTTGTGCAGGATAATGTAAAAGTCAAATTGGTGAAACTTTGCTTTAAAAACATTTGAAAGACTCTTAAAAAAAATTCAATTCAAAACTGCTAATTGCTAATTCAAGTGCTAACCAGTGCTAAATCAAAATTCAAAAATACAAGTTAAAGTTATTGTGGAAAATAAATATTTTATTTCTTTGTTTATGTTTTGTGTAGTTTTTCATTTTATATTTTAACGCTAACAATATTTTAATTTATTTTATGTTGTTTATTTATAATTGTTAAATAACTAATGCTATTTTTCAATATATTATATTCATCAATATACTTTAATATTATTATATCAGATTTGCTCTGACAATGCTGGTAATTTTTATACCAAGCAGGCTTCCGTAGGAGGAGGAAGTGGTTCATTCTCTCCATTAGTGAGGTCTATTTTTATTTTATTTTTTTATTTATTTTTACTCCACTTATCATTTTTCTGCTGAATTTAGAGTCTTCGAAGAGGTAAAAGCTTGCAACGTGTCTGTTTGTCTTCTAGGAAAAGCTAGCGTGTGTGAGTTTTGGTCGCGAAGCTGAAAAATAGCCGCCAGTTGTTGCCTTGCTAACAGTAAGCATAGCAGAATGGACAGGGACCGAGTCAAGGATGAGCTGCAGAAATACGGAAAATCCTGACTCTGTGGACTTTCAGTGGGCGTTGGTCACTCTAAAACCCGACATTAAAATGAGTACTTTCTTTTTATCTATTTAGTTTCTGTTTGCGTCGTTATTTGTCCATTTTTTTAAAAAAAAAAAAAAAAATATCGCATTGTTGTATTACTACTCTTTGTTGCTGCTTTTACTTTTGACAGACTTAGCAAAGTAAACTTTGCATTATCATTGCGCCTCGTGCAGAATTTCAAACTAACCAGGTATATTTAACTCTTAACAGGAACACCTTTTGGGATATGAACAGTCCGCACGTGGACAGCATCTAATGGTTGTTATGGAGACTTGTTGACCCCAAAATGCCATTTTTACCTGCAGTGTTTCTACCTCCCTTATCATTCTGCTCAGTTCCACTGTGGGAAGCTAACTATCATCCAGCCTGGTTCTCAATAGCCAAAATAAATTAGCCTTTGACTTGCATCATATTTATACCCCCAAGGAACCAGGAAGTCATTGATTACTAATTACTTTAGTTGCCAAAAATCAGTGCAATCATATGTCCATTCAGTGCGATATTTATATAAACAGTAAGTCTAATCATGCTTTTCATATATGACCTTGAACAAAAGAACTGGTTTTCAGGTTGTATTTAATTTACATTTTATTTTATTTGTAGATACTTTATGAATGTACAGTTGTTTAAAATTGCTTTTACTCCATATTATATGGAGTAGTAATGTGGAGTAAAATGAATTTTATGTTCAGTCGTGTATATTTTGTTACTGTGCTGCTGTACCAAGTGAATCTCCCCGCTGTGGGATTAATAAGACTATTCTGTTGTTTCAAACCTCAACATTTTACATGAAACCAGTAAAAAAAAAAAAAAAAATCCAGAAATTTGAGTTTAATAACAAATATGTTTAATACTGCCTTGTCCATATTATACATTACTTTATTGCATTTATTTTTTTAATATAAAGAAATAAAAGTGGGTATAAAAGGCACTTTAATCTAACAAACGAGCGTCATTCAAACACAAATAATTTATCTAAAGTGATAAATTTCTCCAGAAGAAATTGACTTTAAAGCTGTTGACGCGTCATTCCCTAGGGGGCTAGCTGTTCTCTACATTTGCACGGTAAAGATGATATTCAGACATTAAATGTGTGTGTGTGTGTGTGTGTGTTTTCGTTCCCCTGTCAGGTTGCGATGGGTGACATCCGTCAGTCATTGCTGCCTCGGGACGTGCTGAGCGCTGCCAAGGAGCTGCTCTACCACCTGGACATCTACATCTGCAACATGGTGCAGTCGGGCAGGCAGCCCCCTCAGGTCGACTCCAAAACCCTGGATCTGATCGAGGAGTTTATCCTGCACACGCCCAAGGACAGAAACTCACCTGTCAGGGTAAGTAAGCCCTTCCCCCCAAAAGGTCCTGTAGAGTAAATAATCAACAGCATCAAAATGTAAACACCAATTATTATTATTTTTTTCCAACAGAGGATGAGTGCTCTGCAGGAGCTGCAGCTCCTGGAGATCATGTGCAGCTGTTTCCAGGAACAGAGTCGGGACACGGTGCGCCAGCTCATGTTCTCCGCTCTCTTCAATCTCCAAGGAAACCAGGCGGACGAGAGTCGGATGGCGCTGCTGAGCAAACTGGTCTCCATGGCAGTCGCTGTGGGCAGGGTTCCCATTCTGGAATGTACTGCCACCTGGCTACAGGTGAGGAGTCCACGTAGGGCTGGGGCAATTAATCTGATCGATCATGATGAATCTCAAGGAGATTTAGGTAGAACAGATTTACTTACTTACTTATTATCTTAAATGCAAAACGTATATATTTTTTGTACAGCAATGCCTTAATTGCTGCTCTCAATATGTTGTTCTTTCAGCAAATTGCCTTTGTTGAGCCCGTAAATGTTAACAATTAATCAATTCGTAAAATAGTTGACGACTACTTCTATAATCGATTAATCCGATTCATCGTTTCAGCAGTATTGTGACGAAGAAGGAAAGTAATTTACGGTGATGCTTATTTTTACAAATAAAAATCAGAATAGAGTGTTATGCTTTTATTTCTGGCCCCCTCTAATATGTTGCCCTTGAATAAAACTCTTAAGCCTCTTGTCATGTGTAGTGTGAAAGTGTTCATGCTCTGCCTGCGGTTGTGCCTACAGAGGACCCATCGTGTGTACTGCGTCCGCCTGGCGCAGGTGCTGGTGGACGACTACTGCAGCATGGTACCGGGATCTGGGCCCACCCTTCACAACATCCACAGCGCCAGCCCTCGCTTCTGCTGCCAGTTCATCACAGCCGTCACAACTCTGTATGACCTCACCTCCGGTACGTCAGGATCACGCAGAAATCACATCCTCCGCGTTGCAGCGGAACACCTAGCAACCTCGGCAACACGACTTTTTTTTTTTTATTATTTTTTTTTTTTTTTTCATTTTTCCAGACGAGCTCACGCCTCCAATGGAGCTCCTCCAGATGATCGTGTCGTGGATCCAAGACGACCCCCGGCTGGTCCTGACCACCTTCCTGAACTCGCCCCTGTCCGGCAGCCAGCCAATCAGCTCTCTGGACATGACGCCACTTGGTGGGTTGATCCGCTGGTGCATCAAAGCGCCGCTGGCCTACAGGCGGGACAAGAAGCAGG